CAGAAGTTAGAGGCGCTGCTCAACGGCATGTTCAAGGTTGGCTCGAACGGTCTCGGAGGCGATGTCTACATACTGCGCGGTGAGGAGGACCCCGTTCAGTGTGCCCATTTATCAGTACTCGAAGTGTGAATGATGTCCAGGTTGAATTCACAGACTCCACGCTGACGGAGTTTGGCATTCTGGCGGACAAAGCCAGCCTGATGGATGCGGCACAGGTCGCAATGAGGCGCCCCTTTTAAGTATGCACGCAGCGGCAATGGCAGAGCACCAAGGCGCTCGCTTCATGTTGGCTGTTGTTTCCCCCCCTCTCCCTCCTCCCCCCTTCCTCGACCGACGCTACGGATGATACGTCTGGCAGCTCGGGCACGGATGACATAATGGATATTACGGATCTTCCCTTCTCTCCTCTTCGCCCATTTTCGATGGTCACGTGGAATGTTGCCGCTCTTGTTGCTTCTGTCAGGTATGGAGGGGAGGTGGCGAGAGCTCGATATCGTAAATTCTTGCAGTTGTGTGAACGGTATGACATTGTAGGTATACAGGAATGTCATGGGCATGACGGGGATATAGCATGCCTGACTCAGCAGTTGCGTGGGTGCCACATTGGTGCTACGATGTGTGCGACGACTGCTGCGGGTGGCACAGATACCGTAATTAGTGCTGCGCTCGCGTCTCAGTTCTCTTCCATTCGGCATCGTCCTTTGTGTGAAGGGCGTGTGCTTCTATCTCATTGTGTCGGTCCACATGGTGCGCTATGTATCGTCAATGTACACATGCCTAGCACGTGTCATGGTCACCAGCAGTATAGGCGAGTGCTCCACACTGTGTGTTGTGCGTTACCCGCGGCGACGTCTTGTTTCAACCTCATAGGTGGGGACTGGAATTTCGCGCTGGAGGAGGAAGGGAGGCAGTCGGATGACGGGCATTGGGAGGTTGGGGACAGATGGCACACCACATATTTTGGCACGGAATGTGCGCGATGGGCTGAACTCTACCAGCCTGATCCGACGCGATACGGTTGGGGCAACGACGGCAGTACTCATGCGGCCCGCCTTGGCCGAATATACACTGACCTTCCGTGTGCCCTCCTCACCGACCTCACCCTGCAGGCAAAAGTGTGGAGCATACCGAAGCGGTACGAGCCGTCGGATCATCTTCCAGTTGCGGTCTCCTTTCAGGCCTTCAATCCCAGGGGGCCCTCGACGGTCCCAGTGTGGTTCAGCAAGACCCCCGTCTACAAAGATATCGTCTCGGAAGGCCTCCTTCAGATCCCCACGGAGTGGAGCCCTCTTCGACGGCTTCAAGCTGCAAAATCTGTTATGCACGACGCTGTTAAGGCTGCCAAGCGTGCACTTGCACACAAACCTGCTCGCACCCCCGAAGAACAGCATTTCTGGGCCATGCGTGCAGTGCGGGGGTGGCGTACAGGGAACTTTGACCTGGTACGTAGTGCGATTGGCGCGCCCCCGATGCTTCTGCAAATCTTTGACGTTGGCCGTGAGGAGTGCACGGGCTACGCTCGTCTCTGCGAATTTGCCAGGGAGTGCCATTTCACTGCGTTGGAGGCCCAACTTAACCAGGCGGTTGCAACGACGGCGGAGGGGGAGGAGGAGGAGGCTCGGCGGCTACAGGCCATCTCGCGTGCCCGGTTTAAGATGCAGAGTTGGTGCAAGATGCGACGCCGTGTGCAACTCTCGGGCGTTCTTGCTGATGACGGCTCCCCTTGTGCGACGGTGGAGGAGTCTGGCAGCGCACTTGCTCGCTACTGGGAGGGTGTATTTGCTGCCAAGGAGGAGGATATGTCGGGGTGGGAGGAGTTCCTGGGGCACTGCCAGTCGGTTTGGCCTCTGTGTGAGGTGACTCAGTGGAGGATCGAGCGGGGGGACTTTATCCGTGCCATTCGTGCAAAATCCAACGCGGCCCCTGGTCCTGATGGAATCCCTTGCAGCTGTTGGCAGACTGACCCTGCTGCTAACTTGCTTTTTGATGTCCATGAGTACCTGTGCGACACGAACAGCACAGATTTTTCTACTGACATGCAGCACGTTCTCCTCACCTTCCTACCCAAGGGTAATCAGGACTCCGACGCGGGCGCAGCTGTTAGTCGTGGCGCTAGCAAGACGCGGCCGTTGGCACTGGCGGACACATCGTGCAAGGCGCTGTCTGCTGCGATGAGCTTGTCGCTTGCCTCGGTTGCGAAGTCGACAGTTCATGTGATGCAGTCGGGAGGTGTCGGTGGGAGGAGTATTACATCTTACGTGGTGGAGGCTGAGGGATGGGGGCTATCCCAATGGCTTCATGATAAGCCGCACTCAGCACTCTTGCTCGCCGACTTCGCGGCTGCGTTCCCATCCCTCTTCGTCAGCTGGATCCTCACTGTCCTTAGTACAATGTCTGTTCCTACTCCCATCATCTTCTTCTTTGCAGCCCTATGCACTGACAATGCAGCGACGGTCGCTCTTGCGGGGCGGCGCCTGCAGTGCATTAAGATTGAACGTGGTGTGCGGCAGGGGGACCCGACGAGCATGTGCCTTTTTGCTTTGGCCCTCGACCCGATTTTGCGTTGGGTCCTGCATAAAGGTAGCACACGCATAGACAGGGGGCTGGGATATGCGGATGATCTGCTGTTTGGGATCTGTGATATCCGTACTGGACTGGTTCCTTTTCTCGTGCTCTTGGGGTCCTTGGATAATGCGATTGGTCTTCGGCTTAACTACTCTAAGTGCCAACTGGTTCTCACGGGCGGGCAAGCGTGTGATGAGGTATCTGGTTGGCTTCAGGCTCTTGGGGCGCCATTTGAGTTCCTTCAAGTTGGGCGTCATGCCCGCTACCTGGGGGTGGAAATCGGCCCCGACGGGGGAGCTCATGTCTGGGGGGAGGCCATCGACAAATTCCAACAGCGGGTACGTGCCCTTCGGAACCTTGGGCTCGGTCTAGCGACGACCATTGTCATGTTTACGTCCACCTGCCTGTCCGTGCTTGGGTACCTATTGCAATTCTATTCCCCGACACAAGAGGTGCACCATGTGTACAATGCATCTCTTCAGTTGCTCGCCGCAGCCCCGCGTTATTCCTTCTCTTCTAAGATGCTCTGTGGTCTCAAGGAACTGGGACTGACCGCGGAGTTCCCAGCACTGGGACCTTACGCTCGCGCGGTGCAGCTGCGTGCGGCTTTCACATGCCCTGCTTTTGCTCAGGTTCAGGCGCAGCTGGAAGCTGCCACCTCGACGGAACGAATACGGAATGGGATGGAGGATGGGGTATGTATTGCGAGGACACTGGATGGGTGGTGGAGGGATTCGTTTGTGCGACAGATGTGCGTTGTGTGCAGCGGATGCCAGCAGATCACTGAAGCGGTCCCGCACGATTTCCCTAAGAAGAAGCTCCAGCGTCGTTTTCTGAAGGCCCTCATCGCTCGGGACCCCGTGGACCTCGCCGATTGTCCTGAAACGGGGCTCCTCCGCAGGATCTCCTCATGGCCCCCTGCCCCCTTCCCTATTGAGGTTGCCCGCGTGATTGGACAAAATCCGTTACACTACGAAACGTACGAAGATGTATATTGGGTTGGCTCCGTTGCGGATCGCGTGCCGTGGTGTGTGGACTACTTCGCGTTTCCACACGACCTCTCGGGGTTGCACTTTTGGATGTGTATCTGTGGTCCCTGGGGCGGACCTTGATGACATGCAACACTACATTGTATGCCCGCGTCTACAGGATATTGCAAGGCACTGGCTGGGTGCGATAGTGGATTGCGCCGACACTATTCCGATCTCCTCCCTCCTCCTCCTTGCTGCGCACCCCTCAGTGGAAGCAGTGCTGTGCTGCGCGTCGTTTTGCGAAGCCTTTTTACACACTCACTCTCAGAAGAGGGTTGGCTGTGACGCCGCCCCTGAGAGACTCTTCGAGGCGCGAATCCGCCTCCACTGCAGGCGCCGCCGCGCTCTGCAGGCTGCCTGGACAAAGGTAACCGCCGCGAGGCTCGCTGTGGGGCAATCAGCTGGCTAGCGGGGGACAAAAAATGATCATGATCATGACGATGATGCTGATAATAATGATGATACTGCTGCTGATGACGATAATGATGATGATGATGGTGATGGTGATGATGATGATGATGATGATGATGGTGATGCTGCTGCTGCTGATGACGATGGCACTGCTGATGATGCTTCTAATGATTATGCTGATGTTTCTGTGGGCGAGGATGGTGATGAGGGTGATGCCGATGCTGCTGATGATGATGATGATGCTGCTGATAATGCTGGTGATGATGCTGATCAGGATGCTGATATTGATGCTGCTGCTGAACATGATGATGCCGATGCTGAGGATGACGATGCTGATGATGATGATAATGCTGATGCTGATGATGATGACGATGACGATGATGATGATGATGATGCTGATGATGATGATGATTCTGATTCTGATGATGCTGCTGATGATGATGCTGATGCTGATGTTGTTGCTGCTGATGGTGATGGTGGTGGTGGTGGTGTTGATGGTGCTGATTGTTGTGATGATGCTGCTGATGATGACAATGGTGGTTATGATGGTGATGATGAGGATTATGATGATGATGATGCTGATGCTGATGATGATGGTGATGATGATGATAATGATGATGTTGATGATGATGATGATGATGATGGCGATGTCGATGATGGTGGCGATGGCGATGATGATGCGGATGACGACGACGATGCTGATACTGATGCTGATGCTGATGCTGATGCTGATGATGATGATGATGATGATGGGGAGGAGGAGGAGGAGGATGAGGACGAGGAGGAAAAGGAGGAGGAGGAAGAGGAGTTGGATGAGGAGGAGGAGGAGTATGATGATGATGCTGTTGTTGTTGCTGCTTCTGATGATGAGTGTGATCAGTATGAAGATGCATGAGTTTTGCGTTTGTGTGTTAGTTTGATCGAGTGGTTTCACCTTTTCCGTTCTCCTGAGGGGGCGGGCTGACACCCAATTTTCTTTCAACGCCCTCCTACTTCATGTTTCTACCTGCTTCCTCTGACCGATGGGCAGTGGTGGGCCCTTTTGCGCCCCACCCCGCCTCGAAAACTTTGACCGCCCCGCGGCGGCCAGGCTGGGCACGCCAGCGGGGCGGAGACCGCTGGGCCCTGCGAGGCGCGGCGCCCGCTTTGCTGCGCGCGCCCCGCGTGCTGGGCGGAGATGCCGCCTCCCGAGGCGGCCCGCCGGCTGGCCGGCCGCCCGCCGCCGTCGCCGCGGCCGTGAACGCCGCCGCCGCCGCCGCCGGCGTCGCCGCCACCGTGCGCCGCCGTCGGCCGCCGCCGTTCTCGTCGCCGCCGTCGTCAGCGTCGTCGTCGTCGGCGTCGCCGCCGCCGTCGGCGTCGCCGCCGCCGTCGTCATCTTCCCCGTCGGCCGCCGCCGCCGTCGTTGCCGAGGTGCAAGCGGGTCCTGAAGAGGCGGGCCCAACATCTCCCTCCGACCGCATGCTTTCTCAGTCCTGGTGCTTGTCTTTAATTTTGGCCTCTGGGGCTCGTTATCGGGCCCCGGGGCCATCAGAAGAAATGGATCCGGGGCGACAAATTGGCCCTGCTCGACCACGCGCCGAGCGGGGTATGGGGGAGGGGGGGAGGCTTCGTAGAAGGAGGCTGCTCCTTAGAAGGCGCGGGCGCTGTCTGTAGATGTGAGGCCCGCGCGCTCTAACGAGCAGCCTCCTTCTACGAAGCTTCCCCCCCTCCCCTTCACCCCTCTTTGCGCACCGCCAGCCCGGGGAAGGGGTCCAGGACTTCGGTGGCCGCGCTCTGAAGGAGCCACGTGGTCAGGTGTCTGGTGTCCCGAGTCTTCCCGCCCCTGCTGGGCTCTCGGGGCCCTCCCGGTGCCCTTGGGGCCGGCACGGAACCAGCTCAGGACGAAGACTTGGTGCTGAAGGGGAAAGCCCTGGAGTCCAGGACCGATGCCCCTTGCGGTCGGACCGAGGTCCAAGATCGAGGTTGGTTCGGGGAGGGTAGCCTGCTGCTCTCTGTGCTTGCCGGATGTTCTTGTGCCTCCTTGGGGAGGGCACCCTCGAGTGCTCTTCAGGCTTCAGCCGGCGGAGGGTCTCGTGTTCTTGAAGGATGCTTTTCTGTCCCAGGTCCGACCGTAGGACTCGTTTCTTTCATGCCAACTCGTCGCCTCCCGCCGCCGCCGCCGTCAGCGACGCCGCCGTAGGCCGCTGCCGCTGCCGCCGTCACCGTCGCCGTCGAAGCCACCGCCGTCGGCGACGTCGCAGTCGACGCCGCCGCCACTAATGGACAACATCGGCGCTTCTCATTCTTGTCCGATCAGGTTTTTGAAACATGGCAGTTTCGCTTGAGACATTAAACAATTGGCTCCGGAGCGGGTCTGAACCACTGTCGTCCAAGAATCGCCGTTGGAGGGCTTCGAAGCAGCGCAGACAAGCGCCACAAGGCCTCCCAGAGGACACCAACTATTGCTTCAAGAGGCTCCCAAGAGTGCCCCAGGAGGAGGGGGGTACAGAATGGGGCGCTTGCCGTGGTGCCGCGCACCTTCGTCTTAATCGTTTGAAGCCGTTTCACGGATGTAGGGCAGTTCTTTTTGAATCTCGGGCTCTCGCATGGGCGCCATAGCGCCGCGCGCATACGTCGTAAACTCTTGCACCAGTTTCACGGATGTGGGCCATTTGGTTTTCGAAATGGCATTTTCAATTCGTGTTTTTTTCTGAACGTATCGCCACGCTTGTAGCCTTGCGCAACGGTTCCACCGATGACGAGCTTTTGTACCGTCGGATCCACAATCGTCAACTATGCTGCGCCTGCCTTCAGCAGCATACCCTAGGCCCCGCCCACCCCTCTCCCCTCTTGCGGTGGCCTTTCCTTGCACCAGTGCAGTGGTGCATCACACCGCGCGGTGCAGCTTGGTCTTCTTCGCGGTGCGCACCAGGCCCCGTTCTCTTGTGGGGCTCCTCAGCGCACAGACCTTTCGGGCGCGCGCGGTGCACGTCTCTCTGGGCGGCTCCGCCTGCCCGGCCTCCTGCGCCTTGCCAGTGGATCCGACGATGAGCTCCGATGACGCAGCCATGGCGATTCTCTCCGACTGCCTGCCCACGGCCTTGTCCAGATTCAGCCGCTGGCTTTGCGCGGGCGCGGCGCGCCCGCCGTCGCTGGACTGCTGCACGGGCCTGCAGCCACCTGCGGGCCCTGCCCCTGCGGGCATGATCGGCGCAGCTCGACGATCGACGCACGATCCAAGCCCCTGCTGCTGCCCCCAACTGGGCGCCAGGGGAAGCAGGGCATGGATAAAAGGACGTGGCTCCGGAGGCCAGACTTTCATCTATGCCGCCGCTCTGGACGCTCGTGGGGTCTGTGCGTGAGCAGGGGCGTGGATAGATGTCGATCGCCTAGCTGGGGTGTCGACCACCCCTGCACGGGTCTGTGCACTCGTCTGCAGACGTACCTCGAATCCCGACCGCTCCGCCATCGTCTCGAAACTCTGGCCCGCAGTGGCCCAGGGCAGCACGCGATTTGGGCACGTATCCGATCCATGGGAGTTTCTTGGGAATCAGAGTTCACAGCTCGCCAGTGTAACACCGCCACGCAGCACCGCGCATCTCCGCTCGAGTCCGCCCAATTCGGCCCCGTTCCAAAGAGCGGCGCTGATCGGTGTGGCGCGGTGCTTGTCGAGCTGGCAGCTGCGACGCCGCCTTCGCCTGGCAAACCGCGCAGCGCGAGGGAGGGGTCTGGACGCTGGAAGCTGATGGCATGGGTACCGTCAAGCGGCGCTGCCACCACCCCCCTCCCAGCGGCCGTTGCCGTTGGGTGGGGGTAATCAAACTAATGCTGCCTGCGAAGTGGAAAGGGCATCAGGAGCATGTGGGACAGAGGGAGGACCCTTCGGGCGAGGCAGCTAGGTCCCCCAGCGACGCCCTGGAGGAGGGAAGGGGAGCGACGAAGCGGCGAGGACGACTCTGCGACGAGAGCGCAGACATGGAGAGGGGGGGTCTCCTCCTGCTCCTCGCAGCCCGCCAGCGTCGTGCCCTCCCGCCGCGAGCGAGGCGCGGGAGACTTGGCGGCGCGCGCCCCGCTCTGGTCGCTGGTCGGTGGCGGCGCCGGCGCCTGGCCGGAGGCCCCTGGGGGGAAGAGCTGCCGTCGTTCGTGCATGGGTGGCGTAGGAGGGGGGAGGGGGTGCGGACCACGGGGTGGCAGATGTCGTTGGGTCTCGGAGGTTGTCTCGCCTCGGGATGATTTCCTTACTCCTGCTTCCTTTTTCTGTCTCATCGCACTCAGACTACCCATACTCAATCTCACTCACACTCGACACACTCACATTCAGACTCACTGACACTCAGACACACTCATGCTCAGACTCACGCGCATCCAGTTTCACTCTCGCTCTCACTCGGACCCGCTCATACTCAGACTTGCATATACTCAGACTCGAGTCGTGCTCAAGCTCATACGCACATTACTCATACGGTCAGGGCCCGTTCGCGTCCAGATTGTGCGGACGTTTCTGGCGGCCTGCCTGTTTGATTGATTGGATTTCAGAGATCCATGCTCCAAGCTCGTCGCGACGTAGCAAGCGAGGCATATAGGGATCGTTTTTTAAAACCCCCGGGGGTTAACGCGTGCTACCCCCTCCCCAGACCCCCCATGACAGGAACGCTTGCAAGCCGGGCACAAGCGTGAACCCTTGCAAATTCCAAAGGACAATGTAAGGAGTACACAAGCTTTCCGGCGCACGCAGGCATCGACGTGCACTCAGGGCAGGTGCATTGCAGTGTACACGGGTGCTGTGGTGCACGCATGCACTGTGGCGTACGCGTACGCTGCGGTGCACATGGCTACTGTAGTCTGCACAGGCGTTGCGGTGTTCACAGGCGTTGTGATGCACGCGGCGCTGTGGTGCACGCGGCTGCTGTGGTGTATACAGGCGTTGTGGGGCACGCAAGCGTTGCGGTGCAGCAGTGGTATCAGAGGAGGAGGGGGGGCAGGACGATGAGGAGCAGGCGGGGGGCGGGAGTTGGAGGTGGGAGGGGGGAGGGAGCCAGATAGGAGCACATTCACAGCTTGGTGGCCCCGCTTGGGGGTGGCCTGCGGGCTCTCTTTGTCGTCCGATGTTGCCTCTGGCCGCAGACAGTTCGCTGGCGCGGGGAAGGCGCGGCGACCCCAGCGCGGGCGTTCAGGGTTGCGACGCGCCCGAGGGGGGCCGCTTTCGGGCTCTAGGGTTCTCAGAGAAGAAACCGCGGTGCAAAATCATGGTTCAATCTTTGGGCCGAGAGCTTCTGGTTGCGGTGTTAGTAGCCAACTTCCAAGGCGTCACGGCACGGACCTACCGTACAGCCGACGCCCCACGCCCTCCTACCTTCTCCCACCTCCCGCCGCTGAATTTTCCTCTCTGTTCTGAAGGTGGCGGGGAAGCAGCCGTTGGACCGACGATTACTCCAACAACAGTTATTATCATATGGCAGGGTTGCGAGGGCGATGGAAGATGACGTTCTAAGGTAAAGAACATTCGTGCCGGGAAGCCTGACCCCTCTCACGCAGAAGTACATCAGGAAGATTGGTCGCCCCAGGAACGAATGGTCAAGTCAGATTGGTAAGGTCGCTGCACAGTTGAACGTCGATGTGAGTGATGCCGCAACATGAACATCTAGAGTAGCCAATTTCTGCACGAGTAGTTAGTTTGCACGAGTCCACGCGCCTAGGGCGTATGAATTTCCGTCCGTTCGTTCACCTGCTCCCAGGCACGTTTGGCGCTGTGGTGTAAACACAGGCGTTGTGGTGCGCGGAGGCTTCGTGGTGTGCACAAGCGCTGTGGTACACATGGTTACTGTGGTGTACAAAGGCGCTTCGGTCTACACAAGCATTCTTCTGGTGCGCGCAGGCACCGAGGTGTACACAGGCGCTGTTGGACACTCGCGCGGCTGCTGCAATGTACGCAGGCACTGTGGTGCACACAGGCGACCTGGTGCTGTGGTGCGCGGAGGCATTGTGGTGTACGCAGGCGGCGCTGCGTTGCAAACAAGCGCTGGGCATTGTCGAGTGCACGGGGATTGTGGTGCACACATGCGATTGATATGTTGGTGGCTCGAATTCACCCTGCCGGGCGCACGCCGCGGCCGCTGTTACCGTTACCCCCCCCCGCGCCCGCGCCCCCCCCCCAGGATAACACGCTTTACCCCCTAATGCTTAAAACAATCTTTTCACAACCTCAAGGAGGAAACGCCAGGGGTGGGGACATGTGCCCGTTCGTGCCCAGTTTGTGGGGATATATCAGTCGGTTTGCCTGCTTGGTTGATCGGACATGCGCGCGAGGTGGCCAGGAGGCGGCCACGGGCGGTAACGTGGCAAATCATAGCCAGACCCAACCAATTCCAAAGTTTGCGAAATAGGAATTCTTAAATGCAAGCATTGTTGAGGGAATGTGTGTGTGTGTGATTGCCTGGATTCGTATCGTATGAGCACTCGTATTAGCTTTCGTGGTGAGGAACAGGAGGTGGACCGCCGGGCCCCATGTACAGCTGTTTAGGGTCTTCTGCCGCAAGGGTGTTTTTCAAGAGTGTGGCCCCTAAGCCCAAAACGGTAATTGGGCGAGTTCTTGTTCAACGCAGGACAAGCCAGTGCCACTCAAAGGCCCCCGTAGGCCTCGGGGCTCTTGTGATGCCATCGCTCCCGCCAGCGACCTTCCACCCTGTCGCGGCCGAAGCCCCCCCCAATCCTCCTCCCCCCCTCCCCCCGCCTCCCCAGCCAGGGTGCCGAAGAAAACATCATCAGCAGCAGCAGCAGCAGCAGCACCACCAGCAGCGAACAAACAAGTTGAGGCCCTTTTGCGGGCGCCCGAAAACCTCCCCCCTCAGCCTGCGCACCGCCGCCGCCCCCCCCACCCGCCCCTGTGCGGCCGACCTCAGGCCGCCCGCCGTGCCGCCGCCGCCCGCGCCGTTCGCGACGGATCCCGCCGTGCAGTGGCGCCGCCAGGCGGGGCGGCCGCGGGCGTCGTCGGCGTCGTCGTTGGCGTCGTCGGCCGGTTCGGACTCGCTGCCGGCAGCGTCGGCGTCGTCGTTTTTTTTCCCGTCCTCCCTCGTTTTTCTCCTCCTCCTCCTCCTCCTCCTCCTCCTCCTCCTCCTCCTCCTCTTCCTCCTCCGTAGCCATTTTGGCTCAAGAATGCTGCACCTGAGGGCTCCGCGCCCTCGTGCCGAACTGGAAGCTGCTAGTCCGCAGCAGTGCCAAGGCCTTGTGCCTGACAGCTTTTGCCAGTACTGCACGGACTTTTGGCAGCCCATCTTTCGTGTGCTCCTGACGGAGCTAGTTGCTACGGCGCTGGGATGGCCCCCGCCCCGTGGCGTATCCCCGACGATGCCGAGGAATCCTGGACGAGGCAACCCTGGATCCGAGTTCCGCCTGGGGGCGCCAAGGCTGGGCAGATTCGTGGTGCTCGGCTTTACACTGTGTGCTCTTGTGGTCACTGGACTTGGGATGACCTCCTGGCCAAGAGGCACAATCTCTGCGTCGGGTGCCAGTCCCTGTGCCACCCGATCAGCTCCTCTGTCGGCGGCGGCGGCCAGATGCTTCTGTACACCGGTGCTGAGGAGTCTGGGTGGGGAGAGGGAGGCAGCAACTCCAAGGGTCGCTGGCGCAAGGGTACTCAGGCGCTGCAGGTGCAGCAGGGCCCCTCCGAGGCCATCCCTCCTCAAACTCTTGCGGCTGTCAAGGAGGCTGCTTCGCACCTCGCGCCCGACCTTGCCCAGAAGTTGCTCGCCCAGTTCGTGCCCAAGCCTCCGCCACAGCCCCAGGCGACACCCCAGGCCGAGTGGCAACGTGCATCTCAGGCCAAGAAGGCGTCCAAGGAGAAGCTCGACAAGGCCCTGGCGCGCCGCGCGGCGCTGGACAAGGAGGCCAGTGACTTGGACAAGCACCTTGACGAGCTCATGGCGAGGGATCTGGAGAACGCTGACATTCTTGAGCAGGCCACTCGTAAGCTGGCCGTCGGTGTTCTCAAGCCTGCTGAGCCCAGTCCCAGCAAGAACGTCATCTCCCTCGACGACCTCTTCAAGGACTCCGCTGAGAAGATCAAGTTTGACTTTGGTGAAGAGCTGGACGTTTCGGGGCCAGCTTTTTCTGCCGAGGACCGCGAGGAATTTGAGAAGTTCAAGCTTGAGCAGTCCCAGCAGGTCAAGACCCTACTGCACGGAGCGCTCACGAGCATTAAGTCCCAGTACAAGACGCACCAGGAGGAATACTAGAAGCGGATGGGCGAGCTGCGCAAGAAGCGCAAGACTACGGATGGTGCGGTTGCAGCAGGCGTCTCGGCTTCTCAAGGTGCGGGCAGCCAGAGCGCCGCTTCCTCTCAGGCGCCTGCGGCTGATGCGCCGAAGGCTGCCCCAGTGGCTGCTGCGGCCCCTGCCGAGCCGACCGATAAGGAGAAGAGGATCGAGAATGTGCGCGCTGACACTCTCGCACGGGCTAAGGCTGCTGCTGCTCGGGCCAAGGTCGAGGCTCGCGAGTCGGGCTCCTAGCTCTGCGGGTGATGGTCAAGCGTGTGACAGCTGTTCTACCTGCAGCTCTCCTGGCGGTGCACTCTCAAGATCGGCCTCCTCATGTTCACTCTCTTCTGTACCGTCCACTTCGACGGCAGGCGGCTCCTTTTCGCTCCCGCTTCTGACGACCTCTCCTGGTGCTACTACGTCCTCGTCGGTTTCGTACGACGGGCGCTCGCTCGCCGCGCCTGCGAAGGCAATGACCCCGCGGACGGCGCCTGCTGCAGGTTGGCCAGGCCAAGACCTCAGCACGGATTCCCGCGGCGCGAGTCTTGCTGGAGGCTCGGCAGACGACGCCACATGTGCATCGGGTTCATGCGACGGGCGCTCACTCACCGCGCCTGCGAAGGCAATGGCCCCGCGGACGGTGCCCGCTGCAGGTTGGCTCTGCCAAGACCTCAGCTTGGTTTCCCGCGGCGCGAGTCTTGCTGGAGGCTCGGCAGACGACGCCACATGTGTTTGCGGTGCGGCCACTACTGCGTTGGTTGCGGCTTCTACTGCTTCGGGCTCTACGGCGACCTCGGCCCCGTGCTCGACCTCAACGGCAGGCTGGCGTTTGCGCTGGCTCCAGAAGGCGTGCGACGCGGGAGGCGCCGCTGGAGAGGGGGCGGCCCCTGGCTCCCAAGGGTGCGCGGTCCTGCGGGAGCCCTTAGGGCACACTTCGAACTCGGTCCTCACTTGCAAGGACCAGGACCCTGAACGGCGTGAGGCCATTCACCAGCGTCTCATCATGGAGCGTCGTCTTCGATTATACACTAACTTCTGGCCCCAGGACCCGAGTCTACTGGATGAGCCCGCCAACCAAGATTACTGGATGCGCCTGTGTGTCACTTATGTTGCCGACTTGCTTACCCAGGGTGTTTACGATCCTCTCGCCTTGGAGCAGTCGGCTCGAACTGGCATTGAGAACTTGGCTGTTGTGAGGCGGGACATGGCGCGTGACATCTGTCTTTCGGCCTGGAGATCCAGAGGGAGTGCGAGGGCTTGCTACCATAACAACATGCGTTTGCTTTCGCAGTCAGACCCTGATGCATGGGAAGAGAAACGTCGTCGCCACGCCCGCTCCTTGGTCCTTGCTGAGCGTGAGTTTAACACCTCCAACCGTGCCTCAGGCCCTGTTTCTATCGTCGCTACTGGTGGATCGCCTGTCTGTGCTGCTGGGAATCCTGGTTCCACAGGTTCTTTGGTCGCAGGGCAGTCGAACCTTTCCCTGCGGCCCACGGGGTTGGAGCAATCGCCCTGCGGTGCCCCGAGTGGATCAGGCGTCGGACTTGTTTTGCTGGAGTCGCATTACGATGGGAGTCAGGGGCCTGGGCCCGACCCTGACAGTGACGCCGCCTCTCAGCGTTCCTTGCCCATTGTCTACTCCAACATCAGCGTATGGGGCCCAACCGCTTGCAGGTGGGTTGCAGCATGCTCGGCAGACATCATCATTTTTGTCGAGCACAGGATGCGCGGTTCCAAGTACCAGGCGATGGCCAAGAAGCTGCACAAGCTGGGCTGGAAGGTTGTGGCGCAGGCCGCAGAGCCCACGCTCGCTGATGATGCATCGTCAGGTGTTCTGGTCGCCGCGCGTTCTCATCTTGGGCTCTCACAGTTAACATGCGAGGCGGGTGAGTGGACTACGGCTGGAACGGCTCGGTGGTTGATGTGTACCTTGAGGCTTCGGAATGTTTCCCTGACCATTGTCCCTGTCTACTTGGTCACGGGGGGTGAGCTCAGCGGTCAGAACCTCGAGCTGCTGGCGGACCCCGGCGCCCATCTGAGCGCGGCAGGTGTTCCCGCCTTTGTGGTTGGCGACTGGCAGGTGGACCAGAGTGTTCTCGAGGAGTCAGGATGGCTGGAGCCTCTCGGCCTCGTCCCTGTTCCTATGCCTGGTGTTTCTGTTGCGTGATCTGGGGTCTCCACCAGTCGGATCGATTACGATTTGGTCTCTGCTAGCTTCTCTAGTGCCGTCCAGATTAGGTCGCTTGTTCCAGTGCCTCGGGGCGCTCACGCCGCTTTGGAGTTTCAGGTTTTGGCTTCTCCCAGGGCCATCATGGTTTGGAAGGCCATGCGACCTAAGCCCATTCCCGTCAAAGGCGTAGCTGCCCCTGTCGAAGCCTGGCCGCACTTGCTTGTGCGCGCGCAGCTGCTGCAGCGTAAGCGGCCAGACTTCTTCAAGGCCAACTACGCCGCTGCCAGTCTTCTCAAGCTCGAGCATGACAACATCCAGGTCTCTCTCGATTTAGGTGCCCAGTTGTCTACCTGGATTGTTGCTCTGGAGCTCGAGGCCTTCTCGAAGCTTGGTTTGGCCCAGGATCAGGTTTTCCAGTTTATAGGTCGGTGCCAGGAGCCCAGGCTTCGTTTGGTGCCCCTCGCGGCCGCCCAGGTTGAGGGGCCCTGCCAGGCAGACCGCGACGCCCGTTTCTGGCAAGCTGCCTTTGTCAAACTCAGACTGTTGCTCAAGCTTGTCCCGCAGGATTCCTTGGAGGATATCCCGCCGCAGCCTGACCGTAAGCATGCAGCTCAATTGCGTGCCACTATGGCTTGGCTCTCTCGGCAGGTGCCCCCTCCCCCGTCTGACCCTTCCGATGCGGGTCAGTGTGGAACCTTTAACTAGTGGAAGATTCGGTTTCAGCGTCTTTCGGAGCTGCCGTTCGACGGGCTGCAAGACTCGCTAGTTGAGCTTCAGCAGGTGTCTGAAAAATCCCACCGTGACGCTCTTCAGGCTCAGGCTTCGTGGAAGGCCTGGCTCCGGGGGGCGCTTTGCAGGTCTGCGGGGCCGGCCCATCGGCTGTTGAAGCCACCCTGGACCCTCTGGAGGCCGAAAAGATCGGTGAGGAAGGACCCTGCTCAGCCCTCGATCAGCCCCTGGATTTTGAAGCGGCCGCTTGGACGGCCATATGGCAACAGCGCGACAAGGACGAGGCGCGGGCTGCGTTAGCTGCCCTGCGTAAGTGTGCTCGATCGTCCCCGCGTTTGCCACCGATCGACCTGGACACCCTTAATCGTGCGCTCAAGTCGTTGCCTGACTCCAGGGGTCAGGGCTTGGATTTTATTGAGCCGCGCCTAATCAAGGAGGCTAGTGTTGAGGCCAAGCTCCACCTCATTCAGCTTCTAGAGTCCATTGAGGAGCAGTGCACTTTGCCTTTTCAGCAGCTTTTTGCCTTGATCGCCCTCATTCCGAAGCCTGACGGTGGAAAAAGGCCCATTGCGCTGCTCGGCTTTGTTTATGCGCTTCTCTTGCGCATCAGGAAGCCCTTCATCACGGCTTGGGGCCGTGGGGCGCACGGGCCCTGGGACCAGACTGTTGGGGGCTCGGCCGACGTGGCTGGTTGGCTTGACGAGCTTGAAACGGAACTTGCCCTCCACAGCGGTTTCCAGGTCGGGGGCCGTTTGCTGGATGTGAAGAAGTATTACGACCAAGTCTGTCTTAAGGACTTGGTGGAAGCGGCTCGAGAATTGAATTACCCACTCCGTCTGCTGGCCCTGGCCATCGATATCTACTTGGGTGTTCGGCATTCGTCGTTGGAGGGGGCTGTCCATCCTGGGGTCCTGGCTGATGGGGGCACGTTGGCTGGGCGTGGCCAGGCCAGCTCCCTTGCGCGGGCCCACTTGTACCAACCCCTCGCAGGAGCCAGTGGATCGGTCGGTGGCCTTAGGCTGCGGGAGTGGGTTGATGATAGCTCAGCTCGTCTTTTTGGCACGCATTCGTCCATCGTTGCTACGTTCCCCATCCTGCTCCGTGCCCTCCTCACTGGCCTTAGGAGGCGTCGCTGTGAGTTGCCCCTGGGAAAGTCACATGTGCTCGCGTCCTCGCCAGGCCTTCGGGCTGAGCTTTCCAGGATTGCTGTCAGTGAGGGCTGTGAGTTCTCGGTGGCTCTGGCCGCCAGGGATCTGGGGCACGACGCCGCGTTGGGCGCCAGAAGGGCGGTGGCTGTCAGGAAGACCCGTTTCACCAAGGGGCGGGATGCCACTAGTAAGATTTTTCAGTTTTGGGCGCACGTGCAGGCAAGCCAGTACATTGTTCTTTCCTAGTGCCTATGCGAAGGCCATGTGGGCGCCCGAGATTCACGGTGCCCCTCCCTCCATTCTCAAAGGCCTCCGCAGCATGGCTCGTGCTGCTAGCAAGACCCCGCAGAGGTGTGTGTGTGTGTGTGTGCTACAACCGCTATCCGTCTCACTTTTGGCTATGGCCAGGACCCCCTCCAGGTTTACGTGCGGCGTGTCGTCAAGTCGTGGTTTGCTCGCCTTGCGGGCCGCCCTGGGCTCCTCCGACGCCTGGCCTGTCTCTGGGCGGCCTCATTGGCCAAGGTCCGAAAAGGGTGGTCCTGGGTCCGTGGCCCGATGGCGGCTTTTCAAGCCACGGTGTTGGCAGTAGGATGGCAGTGCCCCTCACCTTTCACTCTAATCGCGCCTTGTGGTGACGAGTGGCAGATGATGGAGGACGGGCACGGCCCGCTAGGCCCTCTTCTCGAGGCCTTTGACGATTCCATCGGCACCCTACAGTGGTGCCAGGCTTCCGAGCACCTAGATGGCGCTGGAATCCAGGGGCCTGTCTCTCTTCATCATGCCTGGGACCTTGTTGCCTCCCTCGAGAAGGATGGGCTTCGGGACCTCGCGGCTATGATTCGGCTCTTGGTCTCTGGAGGATATTGGACCGATGAGAGAAGGCACAAGGCCCAGATGGCTCCTGATCCCAGTTGTAGGCGTTGCCAGCGTGACCCCGAGACCTCCTGCCACAGGTTTTGGGAGTGCATGTGTAATGCTTCGTCGCAGGTCCAGGAGATTGTTGGCTCGCAGCACCTTAGGCACGGTGCCCAGCAGGAGGCTCTCCAGTTTCCGTGTTTCTGGATGCGTGGTCTTATTCCCTCTCCTGGTTCAACCTCCCTCCTGTGCCTGATTCCAGGGACCTCCAGGAGCGGCGCTGTCCTGGGGCCTTGTTTCCAGGCTGTCTGCCAGGGGGCCTCTATGCCACTGATGGCACGGGAGGGCAGTTTGCCAAGT